GATCACAGCTTGCACTTCTCTTTGTCTAATCTCTGTAAACAGTGTTTGGTAGAGTTGCTCCAGTTTTCTAGTTAATTATGGTGGAAATGCTAATCCTATACTAGTTAATCCATCATGGCCAGAAATAGTTTCCATTTTTATGAATATTCGGATTGTTTTCTCCTAGACATTAAGATAGCCAATGAGACCTTCTTTGGTAGTCAGAAAGAAGCAGTTTTGAGGGAGGGATGGAAGAGACTCCAAGGCCATTTATTGTGTGTGGGATCAGTTCAAGCTGAGATTAGAACTATGGTAGGGGCATCCCAGAAAGGAAGAGAGTGGGACAACTGGGAGATAAGGGGTGATAGGTGGCTCCTGCTCTTTCCGGGCACTCTTTCTCAAATCATTTTTCATAGATCAGGGATATCCTGTACAGTCACACTCTTCCAAAGCAATTTCCAGGCTGGAAAACTTCATATCTCTTATTTCATGTGTGGAAGCTCATTTTCTTTCTCCTTTGAAAACCCATAGCACTTTATTTCTTTAATCTTTTCCTTCTGCATGAGAGTTACCATTTGTGACTTCCAAAACCAGGCACTCTGTTAAGGGATTTGCATTCATAATTCATTTAATGTTCACCATGACCCCATAATGCAGGTACTAGAATGATCTTTTCTTTTATTCAGGAGGAAAGTAAAATTTAGGGAGATTATGAAATTAGCCCAAGATCACACAGCTTGGCAGTGAYAAAGCCAGAATTAGAACCTCTGCCTTTTTCATTTCATGCTCTGTATTCCAGTATCAGGTTATATTTCACCTCTTTACTCTTTGCTGCCTTTTTACTATCCTGATTTCTGAGCTTATCTAACCATTTTTTTAATTGATTACAAGAGGAAACTTGTACTGCACATTTTGTGTCTTCATAGCATCCAGCAGAGAGCCCTTCTTTGCCCATAACCAGTTGGGAGGAAGAAAAAGAGGAAGAGATATTGTCTCCTTTATTACTTATTTTGGAAGAGAAAGAGCCCTAACCTCTTGGAATTAACTTGCTATCAAAATACTTTCTTATCTAGAGGATTAGCATTCCAATGAAACCTTGTTTTACTTATGTTATTCCCCACAAATCATAGTTACTGGAGTCACCTGATAGAAAATCTCTATCCATCCATAGAACAACAGATGGCAATAAGGAAAAAAATCATTTTAATTTAGTTATAAATTGTACATACCTTGTTGTTGCTAGGTAGGATCCTAGGATTTGGGTAATGTGTTCTATGATACTTGTTCCTTTTAGTTGTACCTATAAATCATCTTCTCTTACAAGATTGGTTTTTATGTTTTCTGTGGCAAATGTTTATTAACAGACATCAGCAGTGTTGAGACAATTAGCAACTGTTAGATAAATTTTATTAAAGTAAGATGTATGGGTTGAAATAATGATAGAAATAGCACAACAAGACCTTGTGATGTAATTTGAAGTTATCTTTCTATCTATTAACAAAATAGAGTAGAGGGTGCCATCCATAAGGCTGTCAATAACTGGGGCAGTAAAGCAATTCTACAGATAGCTGGCCGGTACATTAACATTCCCAGGAGAAGATGTCAGAGCTTTTGGGACCTTACAAGAGTGCTTATATTAGATTCAGAAACAAAAACTCGCCTACTGGACAGCCTTTCCACCCTCAATCACTCCTCCTACTTCCCCTGGGTCAAATGTGCGTGTGCCTTTAAGCCACATCTGATAACCCTCTGTAGTTAAACTCACAAGCTCCAGGTGGACTGGTATTTGTCAGGCCAGAGGCTAAATGTAAGGTGAGGAAGCCTGCCTGCTGGAAGCTGTTAAAGAACTTCTTTAGAATCTTTCATTATTCAATTAAAAAATCCCTCCAGCATTTGGGCAGCTAAGTGAGAGGAGAGGAGGGAGGWGGGAGGAGGGAGGAGGGCTTTGGGGAGGAACATTTTCCCAGTCTCTGAATTGTTTAATTCAGAAAAACATAAAAAGATTATCAGTTCTGTTTGTGTGTGGGGGAGGGGGGTGGGATGGAGCCCAGTGCCTCAGGCTAGGCAAGTGCTCTGTCACTGGGCTCTACCCTAGCTACAGTTACTTCTGTTTTTATTTGACCACTGTTCTCTGTTCTTCAGGGAATCACTTTCATTGGCCAAAACCTATAGAATGTTCAGTTTCTATACATATGGGAAATCTTTTGGATTTTGGAACTAAAATAACTACATTCAGAGTAAGCAACCTTAAATTTTTAGTTTTCATTATTAACATTTGCAAAAGATCTGCAGTAGAATAGTTCTTGTCCTATCTAAAAAGTGAGAACTAAGATAGGTTAGAGAGGAAAATAAGAGAAACATGTAGATTTCTGTTTCTCAATTAGAGCAAGAGAGCTCCTTAGATGCAGGAGGGAGTTATGATCACATGATCTTTTGAGGTTTGGGATCCTTTCTTTCTGGGCAAGATGATAAAATGAACAAATATCCACTGAGGTCGATTTCTTCCACATAGTAGATTAATGAACAGTCATCAGGAATTGATTTGTAGTTCCTAGTGGCCCAAACTGAATTTGGGCAATAATGTGAAAACTAAATGCTTTGTTTCAGTTCCTTGAGGTCATCCTGTCTCCCAGCATGCCGTTATGTTATAGTAAACATTAGCAGTTGGATCAGAAGAACCACAAGGGAACATATGTTTTTATCCTTCTTGTCTGGGTAATGCTCTTTAAAAAAAATCAATGAGTCCCACTGCTGCCAAGCACTTCAGGACAACAGAGAAAAGATGTTGCGTTGTTTTAACAGAAGCAGGCTCAAGATTTTATGTACACTCTAAACCAAGTTARGATTTTTTCAGCGAATTAATTAATATTAAATATTCTACCCAATACTCATGATGTGGGAAGTTCCTTTGTTCATTAATCTTAAAAATATGGTTGAACAGGATGAGTCTACAGAACATGCAGTCTCATTTATTGCAATTGTTTTTTGAGAGCTCCAATTTACTTTAAAATTTTATTACATTGAATTTTCCCTGGGATTCTTCTTTATAGAAGAAAGTCTTATTCATTCTCTAATCCAAGTGAATGAGTATACTTTATCTAGAGCGCTTGGGACCAGAAGTGTTTCAAATTTGGGAATTCACTGTTTCATATTTTTGGAATTTTGACATAGATTTTATTGACTGGGCATTCCTAATCTGAAAATCCAAAATTGGGAATAGAGATTTGAGTGATGCCCAAAATGTTTTGGATTTTGGAACATTTCAGATTTGGGATTTTTATATTATAGATGTTTAATCTCTATTTCAGGCTTAACTATGTGTAGAGCATTGTGCTTGATTTTGTTAGAAATTACACAGTTAGGGCTGGGGATGTGGCTCAAGCGGTAGCACGCTCGCCTAGCCCAGGTTCAATCCTCAGCACCACATACAAACAAAAGATGTTGTGTCCACTGAAAACTAAAAAATAAATATTAAAATTCTCTCTCTCTCTCTCTTAAAAAAAAAAAAAAGAAATTACACATTTAGCTGGGCACAGTGGTGCACATCTTTAATCACAGTGGCTTGGGAGGCTGAGGCAGAAGGATCATGAGTTCAAAGCCAGTCTCAGCAATTTAGTGAGGCCCTAAGCAACTCCACTAGACCCTGTCTCTAAATAAAATATAAAAAAAAGGGCTGGGGATGTGGCTTAGTGGTTAAGTGCTCCTGGGTTCAATTCCTGGTATCAAAAAAACAACAACAAAACAAAATGAAATTACACATTTATCCATTCATCTCTTAACAAATATTTATTTTATGTTAATAGATGCCACGAACAGTTCTTTTCAGTGTAACAAATGAGGTTTCTACCTCACTTATAGCATAGGTGCTCCTGGGGAAATCAGACAATATACAGGCAAACAGGTGTATGCATAATATCATTTTGGAGAGGAACTATATTAACTTTTTTATCCAGCTACTAAGGTCTAATAACTGGGAAGTTGAATACCACTATGTAATGATAACACAATCCAACTTTTTTTGTAGTGCTGGGAATTGAACCCAGAACCTTGCTCATGCTAAGCACATGCTCTACCACTGATCTAGCTAGTACTTAAGGTCAAGTGTGGGGTCTTATAGTCATTCTTCACAGCTCTCACAGTAGCTGTATTTGTCCTATATATTCAGATGAAAAAATTGAGGCCTTTAAGAGAGTGTGAGTATTTCTGAAGTCCCAGAACTAGCCAGTGGGAAACCTTTTTCTCTTCTTCCCCATGAAACTGGGGGTTGAACCCAGGAACTCGGGAATGCTAGGCAAGCACTTTAGCACTGAGCTAACCCCAGCCTGGAGAGGCTTTTTCTAGTCAAACCCGGTCTTCTGACCAGAATTCACATTGTTTCTGTTTGTATTATTGCTTGATATCTATTGGCTTAATCACACAAATTCTTTCCTATTTCGCATTATAAATCTTTCAAGAATAGAAAAATTTAGCTGAGTGCAGGTGCAAACCTGTAATCCCAGTGGCTCTGGACAGAAGGATCACAAGTTTAAGGCCAGCCTCAGGAATTTAGTGAGGCCCTCAGCAATTTAGCAAGACCCTGTCTCAAAATTTAAAAAAAAAGAAGAGGGCTGGGTATGTAGCTCAGTGGTAAAGCATTCTTGGTTCAATCCCCAGTAATAAAAAAAAAAAAAAAAAAGGAAAAAAGAAAAATTTTAAGTCACAGCAGATCCAGTTTTTGCTTTTGCTTTTTAAAGTGCTTTAATAATGCCTCAGGTCTACTTAGTGGAAAATAGAAGAAAGAGGAAAACTGCTTATAAAACTTGGCCTCACACACTGCATGGGTTTTCATAAGTCTCCAGGCTGATTACACTGTGCAGCCTTCCTTAGGAAATGGATGGAAGTTTGAGCTGAGACACAAACAGGAAGGCTCAGAGGCAGCATTTGTCCCTCAGGCAGGCACCACCTCTTTAAATAGCTATGTGCACTGGGAATTAGTTCTTCACTTAGACTTGCAACTACTGCCCTTTGTTTCTGGCCCTGCAGGGCTGGAGGTGGCCAGCACTGTCCTGCTGGAGGCTGGGACAGCTCTCAGCGGGTGTGGGGCAGTGAAGGCTGGCTGGAGATGGCCTCCCAGCCTGTAGGCCATGAGGAGACACCTTAGCAGAGATGTTTTGTGCTTTTCCCTTAAGAATATCATCCCCAAGACTTTTAACCTGCTAAAAGGTAAGGTTCCAAGCATTTCCTAGATCAATAACTTGGGCGACAGACTTCTTTCTGCAGACTGGTTCTTTATTTTACTTAAAAGAGAAGTGAAAACCACAAATGGTTGTTATAGCTTTTGTTGTTGCTGTTGCTGTTGTTGTTGTTATAGCTTTTTTAAAAAATTATTTTTAGGTGGATCTTGTAGTTTTATTAGTAGATACAGGCACATCATGTTACATGATGGTAAACTGTGTTTTTTTTTTTAACCTTTAAAAGCAGATTTTTGTTATGATATGGATGTGAGTTTCTAAAGCTCAAATCAAGTAGAAAAGCAGATAAATCCTGATTTGAAAAGACTAGTTAAACTGAGATCTTAATAGATGCCTTAAAATGAATGGTTTAAAAACATCTTTTGATTCCAGTTCCTGTTTTTATGTTAGAGGGCTTAAACTATCTAATCCAATCTTTCCAAATAACTATCTAATTTTAGTAACATCTACTGAAGTAAGCTGTATTACGCAATCCGGTTACTCCACTCTTTCCATGGAATGAATGCAATTTTCTGGTCAGGCTTTTAAGTCTTTTTATTTTCAGCTCTCTTACAAAGGGGACCAGCCAGAAGTGGCTGTTGCCCTGTCCTGCAGAGGACAGGTGAGTGGGGAAGAGGTCTCATTCTGTGCTGCTCTGCAGGAAAGAGTAATTARTGTGACCTGCATTTGTCCCATTTCTTCTGATCTTTTCTTGGCTTCAACCTGTTCCTCCCTTATGTACCTTCTTCCAGATTCATTGGCACCTGTGTACTCCTGACGGAGGGCGTACTTAATTAGTCTCCACTTTGAGAAACATGAATTCATTCTCTCCTCAGAAAGGCTTCCATGGATTTACAAACCTTTCATGTTTAATTTTCAGAGCATTGTCATCCTCAGGGCTCCTTGTCAATGACTTTCTATTTGTCTTTTGTTTCTCTTCTGGGTCTTGTCTGTTGTACTTGGGAGGAAAGGAGAAGTTTTGAGAGAGGTGGTATTGCTGTTGATTTGAGTTTCATTTCCTTTAAATCAGATTTGAATCCTATGCTTCAGAGTGTTATGAATTTTTTTATATATGTAGTATTATCTTTATATTTTCAAAGCTGTGTTTATGGTTTTTTATTGTCTTAAAATTGTTTTACTTATATATTCTATAATCAAAAAGTAAAGTCTACGCTGACTCCATGAAGCCTTCTTTTTAGAGTTTAGTAAGGAAGTGTACCTTGATGAAAGTGTTTGGTGTATGGAAGACAGGGAAGTATTTTTTTTTTTTCCAAGTTCTACCTCGGATTTCAGGAGGTGTAAATGAAACCAGCCAAGGTCTGTGGTAGGGTATACATTTTCAGCATGATGCATGTCCACGATGTGACATTAGCTGGATGTGCTTATTTGTGAAAATAGTCATTTAACATGTGCTTTGATGATTGTTACTAATTGGGGTGACTTTTTTAAACTTTAAATTTCCTAAATAATAGCAAATTTGCATTATATTTAGAGCTTGTTTTGAAGTTTGACATTTCCACTGTTTCTTTTAATAATCCCCACAGTTCTGCATATAATGGCTCCTCCCACTACTGCCTGCTTTGTCCATGGGTCTGTCTTTTATAGACAGAATTTTTAAAGTCCCTTGTTAAACTCCAAGCCAGGTGTTTAATTGAATAGCAGATGAGTTAATCAAAACCAAGTTTAATATGATAAGACTTATATTTAGATTGGAAAATATAAAGGACTTTATTTTTATGTTCAAACAAACCAAAGGGAAAAAAATATCAGTTGGAAAACAGAATAACACTTTTCTGCTTGCTTAGGTAGCTAAGGAATTCTGAAGACCCTGGGCACAATAATGCAAGGGTCTGTTAGCCAAGGTTCTGCCTGAATTAAAAAAAGAATAACAATAACAAAATAGCCTTGGAGATGAGCTAAAAGGAAATCAATGTCTCTTGATAATGAGTATGACAAAGCGAACTCAAGATTTACAGGAAGGCCTCCTGCTGACTCCAGTGGAGTGAGCTTAGGAATGTGTTTTAATGCCTGTTTTAAACCCCAGAGTGGTGTTTTGAGTCAGTCCTGCTGACGTAAACATAGACTGTGCCTGGATATATTCCAAAAGTAGAGGGTGAAAACAGTTCAAGCAAGATGTACAGTGTTATTACAGTCCAGGCACGGAGCAGCAATTTACCACTGTCTTGGGAGACAGAGGAGAGCAGCCACTGTGCTGTCTGTCCCCCGGTAGAGTAGCTTGATGATAAGACTGGACATAGATGGGAGATTGCACCAAGAACATTCACCCTAGCACTTATCTAAACCGATGGAAGGTTTGAGAAAAAGGGAATTGTTTCTTAGCAATACAAAAGCCTGCAGAGTATTTACTAGTTCAAAWAAGCCATTGAGAGGAATGTTTGAGCAACTTAAGAACTGATTAGATGGATACTCATTGTTAGGTGACTTTAGTGACAAATAAGTGATAGGTTTCCAAAGCTCATTTACCAAACAAACTTTGGGAAGTAAGCAGAGTAAATAGGCCCGGTCTCTGTTAGCTATGAAGATAAGCATGAACAATTCTCCATTCTCCAGATATATTTGATTAAATGAATACAAAGTTTTAAACTTTTCCCTTTCTCTTATGACTATACATGGGAAAACTGGGATCAAACAGGTCCCAGCTTGACTGAAGAGCATACTAGTTTAGAATCCAAGAATCCAACTTAGTGCCATGCAGAAGTCACTATTTGGGACAGGAATGGTCCATCTATTTTGCTTTGAAAGACAGCTGGAAGGCATAGTATTTCAGTTATTTGTGTACCAAAGTGATATTTGACTATCTGAATCTTCCAAATTAAGTAGACAATAATGGAGAGGCCTTTTCCTTGCTTTTCATCCTGTTCCACAATGTGGAGATCTACTTCCCAATAGAGTTTCAGTAAACTTGGAAGGAGGGCTAGAGATGTGGCAGCTCTAACCACATGGCACTCCTGCCTACCCAATGTAATGTGGAGAGAACCCACAGTAACTTTATGAATATTCCAGTGGGTTACTTTGTAGGAGATAAAATGAAGATAGACACTCACTGATGACTTCATGTTGAAAGAGTCTTTTATAATAATAACAGTACATTGTACCTTGTCTTTCATTTTATGCTTTGTCAACCATGAATTATTTAGTAGGTATGGATCTTATTGTGTATTTTGTTAAAAAATATTATGGGGTTTAATCATATGATCCATCCCTGGAAACTTAAAAAAAAAGACAACAACCCTAAAATAATCTATTTTGTTTAATTAGGTCAGTTTATGGCTATCTTTTACCAATAAGAATTTCCAATCCTCTCAAAACTGCTTTCTAATCCATGGAATAGAAGAAAGCAGAAATCAGCTTGGGCAAACCTATCCTGGAATTTTTTGAGAAATGGTGTAATTTCCAAATTGTAAGAAGTGCCTAAGGCATAAAAACATGGTGTGACTAGAAATCTAGGTTTTTGTGACAGTGATAGGAGTGGCATTGTAGCTAAGAATGCTGGGGTGAGAAGGAAACTTGGTACAGGAGTTTTTAAACTTGACTTTTGGGAAGTGCTGGAGCTAGGACTTGCAGGGAGGGTGGAAGGAGGAAAAAACCTAAGAAGCCTCTAGACCTCCATGTCTAGTTTCCCCAGAACTGTTCTGTACCTCTCTGATTTTGTTTGTGTTTTTGGTTCTGGGAATGGAACCCAGGACCTCACACATGCTAGTCAACCCTTCAGTCCATTTTTTTTTGGGGGGGGGGAGGAGTTGGGTACTGGGGATTGAACTCAGGGGGCCTCAACCACTGAGCCACATCCCCAGGCCTATTTTGTATTTTATTTAGAGACAGGGTCTCATGGAGTTGCTTAGTGCCTCGCTTTTACTGAAGCTGCTTTGAACTGTGATCCTCCTGCCTCAGCCTCCTGAGCTGCTGGGATTACAGGCATGCCCACCACCTTCCCCCATCAGTCCATTTTTAATTTCTTCTCTAACTAGTCTTTTGAAGGAGAATATAATCTCTAGTCCTCTTTCCCACTAACATGTGAATCTTGGGCTATGTGTGTGTGTGTGTTTGTGTGTATGTATGTAGGGGTCTGTTGTGAGATAAAGGAAAGGAACTACAGTTTGAGAAGGAATGTATTACAGAGAATGACTGGATGTTCTTAAGCCTTAAGTGGATTCACTGAGTGTTTTCCATAATCTGCTTACTTAGTGTTTACTGAAGATTTGCCTTTTGGGGTTGTTACTTGACCACTTTGGATTTGTCAGCTGATCTGTCTGTTAAAGGTCAATTCAAATTCCACCCCACCCCTTTCCCCCAAGCACTCTCTTGCTACCCCTCCCACTAGTATTTTCTCCAAAAGTCTAAGGACCTTGTTGTCAATATCTTTCCTTTAATATTTATACACTCCCTATGCAGCAAGGTGACTCTTCTTTTAAAATGCATTCTTTTGTCTCCTTGGCTAGCCTATAGACCCCCATTGAACCACTGAATACAGAACTTTTTTTTTTTTTCCCTCAGTAACATTCCCCTCTCCCACATACTACCTAAGAGCTGACTTTTAGTCAGCTTTCCCTGACTGCCCAGTTTTGCTTGTCCCAGGACCTCTCTGCCTGCAGTGTGTCATGTTTGCACCATCTCTGCCCTTCAGGATAACCGCCCATCCTTCTTGTTGAGATCCTGAACCTTTTTAGGAAATACTTTTCCTCCTTCTTTTGAATTCTTAAAACATTCTTAGCTCTTAACACTTACTGTGTTCTACTTTATGTGAGCCTAGATGGTATCATGGTTGCGTGCTCTGGGAATGGACAGCCTGTAGGCAAATCATAGCTGTACTCCTTACCAATGGTGTTATCATGAACAGATAAAATAGAACAGATAAAATAGGTCAAGCATCTTTATTCTGAAAATCCAAAATCTGAAACATTCCAGTATCCAAAACTTCTTGAGCATCAATGTGACGCTGCAAGTGGAAAAAAACTACACCCGATCTCATGT